ATATCTAATTCCAATTCTAATTCTCTCAATCTAATCTCCTAAAAATATTCTAAAATCCCAAGATAACCTTTATCCTAATCTGAGTATTGAAAATAAAAAAGTCTTAATACAAAATAGGAAATAGTGTGTCCAGCTGTAATTTCGTGCATAGGTCTTCAATCTTCCAATAAAAATCTGCCTATTTGAATTGATGACAAGGCAAATGTTCAGAACGTCCAGTGCAGATGCATCAACTTCAGCCCAATTAAAACCTTGATTCAGCGAGTATTCTCTAAACTCAAAACATTAAAGTTGTAGATCTCTTTCTTAGCGTTCCACAGCATTTTGAATCATCTCAATCGGAGCTTGGATGAGAGAGTTATGCCCAGATTACGAAACGACGTCGAAACTGTCTGAATTCACTTAATTAATTCCGTTTTGCAATTAACGCCTCCATTTGCATCCTAAATCAAAATAGAATAATAATGAGTATATTTAGGCAGCAAATAAGTATAAAAGACTAGACATTAAGGGGGGTAAATATGATATTTTGCATTCTCATCAACTACTCCAAGAGGAACTAGAGATGAGATGGATTCCAATGCATCCCGTAGTGGGATATCGTATGCTATTCTCTGTATAGACCTGACGTTTGTATGTGTAAAAGTTGTTAGTAGATACTAGTCAAATCTTGACATGAAAAATTGGGAGGTAGTTAAGCATATACTAAATATTTCGTAGGATGAAAGATTATATGTCTTCTTTTTGGAGGTGATCTTATGCCGATAGGATACACCGACTCAGATTTTAATCTACTTCCGAAGGTTCACCTCAGTTTGGTATTGTAGGCAAAACTAGTTCTTGGAGGAGTGTAAAACAATTTTATTGCAGATTCCACCAGGAAGCAAGTTTGTCACAACATGTGAAGGACAAAGGAAGCAATGTGGCTTCATAACTTCCTACGGGAGTTAGAGGCGATTCAAGACTTGATAAGCCAATTACTCTTTATTGTGATATAATGGAGCAGTGGCTTATTCAAAGGAACCTAGAAGTCACAAAAAGGAAAGCATATTGAGAGGAAATATCATTTCATTCAAGAAATCATGCAACAAGGTGAGTGACAGTAGCAGATATCTACCGATAGTAATCGGTCATCGTCACAAGTCTATCACTAAGGTTTTAGGTCATGTGGAGGGCATAGGTATTAGGACACGTGTACTTGATGTCAAGGGGAGATGTTAGGTATGCCTTAGAGTACAATGATTCTATGAAATAATGTAAACAATTGTTATAAATTAAAATGTTTATTTGTGTGTCATCATAAATCTCCTTTAATCAGTGGGCAAGGTTTCGAGCTATAGTATAAGATAAAATCCATGTGTAAGAAGTAGTCATATATAGGATATGAGATTTTATCATAGCTTAAATTATGATCACAACCATGAAACATAAGTTGGGCACTCATTTTGTAAAGTTGTTGTGTTGTCTGCCTCGTCCGGTGATGAGTCTCGAATCACTAAAATGGGGATTTTAGGGCTAAAACACTTTTGCATTCGATATGCATTGACAGACCAAGTGAAGTTTATAAATGTGTAACTACCGGACGAAACATAAACTTCACACCTTAGCAACTTAGACATATGTACCTTAACCTGAATGAGTGGTGTGTGCTTTGATTGTAGACTACAGTCTTTATTAGAATAGAAGGTGAGACTTTATTGTTTAATACGTTAATACCCTGTTGATTGGGATTGTAGTTCTATGGGTCCGAGACACTATTCCATATATATAGATTCATAAATCTGAAGGGTTTAAGGGAACCTCTTGTGGGTTTTACAGGGTCTAGAATGATGAGACTTGGCCAAGTGTCATTAACATTTACATTCAATGGATTTAAAATTTGACGCAACGAAAAGTGTAACGGAAATGAATATTCCAATTAAGTGTTCCATGAGGTATATGTGTAGTGTCGTAAATGGATAGACTTAATGAGATAATTTAATCAGATAAATTATTAAAAACTTAAAATTTAATTCAATAGTGCAGCGTTGTCCTTATAGTGGAGTTGGACAACATTAACACATTCGACACTACCATATGAGATAAGAGGTAAGAACCAAATAGTTGAAGCTGTTATTACATTTCATAGGGTCCCTACGGTAGACAATATGTGTGGAAAATAAATATTCTAATTTAATTTGACTATTTAGTAGTTTGGGATAAATTAGACAAGTTAAGAGGTTTCGGAGACATCATTAAATGTATTATGGTATATTGTGTGAAAGACCACATGATTGTCATGCGTATGGGTAATAGTGGCTCAATGTATTAGTGGAGGTATTGCATGATGTATGTAAAGTTTTGGACTAATGTATTGTTTAATTCATAACTATATAAAGGAACCAAGATCACATATATGCCATTTGAGAAGGCACATCTCATGTTTTTCCGATATAGTGAAATTGGGGACACTACAATCCATATTAGCAATCGACGACTCACAATTCGCTAGGAAGTTTTGGACGAGTTGTTAAGCTATGGACTCCATACTGTATCTCTACACCAAAGTTTAATTGACAACCAAGGGGTCACTTCTAGGTTTCTCAAGCATTTTGTGAGCATCAACCAGGAGATGGGTGAAGTTGTTGGATATGTGTAGTTTCTTACAACTACAACTAGTAAGCTACCAATTGGAGTCCATCGAGGTGATATGGGTAGCAACCTCTTAACTACCATTTGGAAGACTTACAATGGCAAAGTCTATGACATTAAAGTTGCCAAGACTTGGCATGAGCAAGCAACGTTACACAGTTATATGAGTAAGGCAACACAGAGATGAAAAAATGGCAGACAATAAACATATGCATGTTGAGTTCTTTGTGGAAACATGGTGTTTATGAAGATGCTGTTAACACAAATCAACACCTCTCCTCCTAAGGGACTACTACGGAAGTATAAGGCCCTTTGCCATTGTAAGAGGTTGGAATTAAACACCGCTTATTAGTTAGGCTACCCTTGAGACTTAACTTCACCTAGTCTTCCATGGTTGTTTGATGTCTTATCATGCAGACATGGAAGATCCTATAGAAATGAGCTTAAGTGAACACATTTGGGCCACTTCCGCTATGAAAGGACATCGAGGCCATTTAAACACAAGGGTGGTTTGCACATTGAATTATACTCGAGTCGTAAGTATCTAGTGAATTGGAGAGCTTGGGAATTATGAAACTAGTTGGGAACCGAGCATGCATTGTGACAATTTGAAGCAAGATCGGAGTTTTATGATGTGGTTCACATGAGGGCATCGTGTAATTAATGGGGGAGATTGTCATGTTGGCATAAGCCCAATTCCATAAAGCCCCATATCGTTCAAGAGGCCTACCTAGACTGACTTAGGAGATCACAGAATATGCTAGAGAACTTTCTAGAAGCTGCCTAGAATGTTCTTACCAAATAGTAGCAATGGATTATGATTCTATTGTTTCATGATTCATAGCAATCCATCTTAATGGATATGTATGGATCTGGACCTTGAATCGCTTGTGAAATTGTATAAATATCATTAAGTTGATTGTTCATCATTCCAAGCATTGTATTCATTGAGAGCAATATAGAGTTTTTCTTTTCCTTTGTCTCTTTGTTTATTATTTCTTTGAGAGTTGTGGGGTTACCTTCAGCTTACTTAGCCAAGTCTTTTGTTTGTGCACTAGGCCACACGGTTCTTCTAAGGTGTGACACCATGCTAATTGGTATGTAATATGAAGTTACCAAATTATAGATAACCCCCTGTATAATTATTAAAACCCTCTAAAAACTTTAGACAACCCCTAAAAAGTTTTAGAAAACTACCCCTTACTCTCATAAGGAAAATACCACTACTAACTCCCTAATAATACATCTAGCCCCTACTTGTATCAATTTCTCTTGGATTATCAGGTAGAGCAAAAGCATCGATTTGGATATATCATTAAGTTATAAAAACCCTCATCATATCAACCAAACTATGCTTGCTTGATAGGCTTGGGTTTGTAAAACCTAGTTTTTTTTCGGATCTAGGGTTTTACATCCCCACAACAATCAAAAAAGTTAGGAAAGTGTTTTTAACCCTACATATTGATCAACATCACCTACTTTGAAAAGCTTTTTTTTTTGTTGACAATTTTAACCTTAATAATTTATTATAAATTACTAATGGTTTATAAAAACACCCCTACTCTATTTTATATCTATATTTCAATGTTTAACCTTTGATTCTTACATAAACCCTAACTCTAAATTTCCTTAATCATTTAACACTTTTTTAATTCAAATTTTTCTTTGCTTAGTGAAAATATGATACTTAATTTATGAAGGAAGTAATCACACAATAGGATGAATTTGAATCTATAGAAGAAAAATAATTTTGAAATTTGAAATTGAGAGAAAAAAGGTAAATTGGGAAAAGTGATATAAACAAAAGCCCTAATTAAATTAGGAATTGAGGAAAAATGGTTAATTAAGTTTGAAATAGAGGAAAATGGGTGCAAATAAAAAACTAATTAACCCTAATTAAAGAGAGCTTTCTGGTATTAAATACGGTTTTAAGAGATTTTTTTTTTTTTTTAATATAATAGAGATGTATTTAGCTATGGGATACTAATCAATTTGATGCGGGCTAAAAATCACTGTTAAAAGGTTGTAAGTTATAATTATAAAAGTAGAAAAACCCGGAACTTGGCATGCAAGAGATACTTTTAGAAAATACAGGGGTAAAAAATGTAAAAATTTAAATAGCCCATAGATTTAGTATATAATTTAAATAAGAGTAACACTAGTCTTACGAAGAGGCATACAACGAGTCATATAAAGAGATAATCCTTATTCTTAAAATTCATAATTCTCTCTCTTTTTTTTTTCCTTTTTTAATGATAAAAATTATCTCTTTCTATGATTCTTTGTATTTTTTATATACCTCTTTGTAAGGTTAGTACTACTCTTTAAATAGAAAGGTAAATGGGTTACCCAGTCCGGCGCAACGAGTGGGCCTTAGTAGAGCAAACACTCACTACATCATCACCAGCGACGCTCTCGTGACGTAACCATTTCTGTTTAATCCATCGCACTTTCGCCTATTTTCCTTAATTTCTTAGTTGTTCCATTTCTAGGGTTTCAACTACATTCTGCAATGGGTGGAGCCAAAGAGAAATCTCCTGAACCAGATTGGTTGCGTACTTTTCAGGTACTCTCTTTTTCTCTCTCCCCCTCATTTTTTTTTTTCAATAAACACAATTACGATCTTAATTGTGTTTATTTGCTTGTTTGGTTTTTTTCATAGGCGCCAACTCATAACCAGTCTATAATGGCGCTATCTTCTGACTCTGATTCTTCAATTGATGGTGAAAAACCAATTGCTGACGCCAACGTTGAGGCTGAAGTAAGTGTTGATTTCGCTTTTAGTTGTGATATTAATTGTGGGTTTTTAATTTCTTCAAGTAATGTGGAAGTACGACGTTAATTGTATGATGATAAGTTCGGTTTTTATCTTATAATTAAGGTGGGTTGATTGTATGATGAATCTTATAATTAATATGGTCATATTAGTAAATATATCAGTTGGCATTAAAATTACTGAAAATTAATTAATTGGTAAATGGCGTGATAAGTGATAGTACATTCCTATAATTAATGTGATACTGCAACATTAGTATACACATGAGTTAGGATTTATACTTTGTATGCATAGCGTTATTGATGAACTAATATTTAGCGCATTGATACTCATTAAAACTACCTATATTGTTAAGCAGGCACCCGGAACCAAATCTCGATTTTTGTCATTAACTGTTTCATCAGACTCTGAGTCTTGTCCTGATGATACTCTATTGAAGAATTACAATCCTTCTAAGTTAGAAGAGCAAGGGCAGGATGAGGATGCAGCTCCCATTGGTCTCAAAGGAAAGTTCCCTCATAAGAAGGCTTCAAAAGAAAAATCTCCAAAAAAAGGGCAAAAAGTAACTGACCAAATGCCAACAAAAGAGAAGGATGTAAACAATGACGTGAAAAGAGAAGGTATGAAGTGCATTTATATAATTGATATAGAAGACTGAACCATGATACTTGCTAAATATTTTTTAGGTACAAAAAGAAAAACTGCTGTGTGTTTGAAGCTTTTATGCATGTATGTGATATGGCACAGAAAATGATGGTCGTGAAGATTTGGAGGAAGAAGCAGCAGAGAAGCACAACAAGCCTTCTGTAAGAATCTTCTAGTAGCAGCTGTGTTTATCGATTCTCTAGTATATGCTTCGTTGAATTGCATTCATCATTTTTTATATTTATATTTCCAGGTTTCTACCTCAACGTTGCCTTTGATTCTTCCAGAGAAAGTCCAACGTATGAAGGTAGGGCATGCATCGGCCCGATTATGGCTTCTTTAATTATTAGTTTCTGGCTGCCCAAGAATATTCTTTATTTTCCTTTTCTGTTTCCTATCTAAAGAGAATAATATCCTTAATGGATGTGGACTGTTGACATCTCTGTCTCACAATCAATTAACATAGGTCTAAATTTTAAATATTCCAAGGATAAGTGAGGAAGTTTGTTCAAAATGTAGTAAAGCTGGCACTGTTTTTGCTCTTTTACCAAACCAAGTAACCTTTCTTTAGAGATTTATGTTGATTTATCAAATTTTTTTTTTCTTGATCTTGCATTCTCTACTGTCCGAGGGATTGATGGGTGTAAAATTATGGATTGATGTTTGTTCAGTGACTGGTTTTGTGGATTAAAATTACACTTTGTGTGTGTGTGTGTGGTGTGCGCATTAACTAGAGGTTTTGTTGTTTATGCAGGCACTTGTTGAGTGTGAAGGGGAGTCCATAGATTTGAGTGGTGATATGGGGGCTGTAGGAAGAATAATAGTTCCAGATGCTCAAAATGGAAATCATGACATGTTCTTGGACTTAAAAGGTATGCATTTTGCTGCTGCTGCACTCAATTTTGGGATTATATGATTGTTGTGTCAACTATTTTTTCTTTCAAGACTTCTTTGAATAGTCATGTCTTTGTATCTGATGGAGCCATAAGATAACTTGATTCTTCTTTTCTGGCAAATTTTTTTTTTTTTGACATGGTTTTAAAAATTAAATATTGTAGTGAAATGTGCATTAAAACTTTAAAGGTAACCAGTTGCTCTTAATATTCGGTATACTTCCTTACTAATGTTGTTTTTCTTCTTATGCCTTTTTACCTTCTCTTTCTGCAAGTTTCTATTTTAATTTTTGTTCATATATTTATTCCTTGTTAAGGTCTTAGTTTTCTTGCTTTCATCAATGTGGATTAATAATGCATGTTTCCTTCCATCATCTGCATCTGATTAATTTTATTCTGCTTACTTTTTCAGGAACCATATATGGAACAACAATAGTTCCTTCCAGGACATTTTGCGTTGTATGTTATCAATCTCCTTTTAAATTTGTCATGTTGGATATTTATTTTCCCCCGTCTGCCAAAAAAGATTATAATATATGTAACATTGGTAATGATAATTAAACGCCTCCCCCCCATCCCCTTTGAATTCACCTGCTTGTTTTTACTTCAAATAATTAGATTGTTTCATATGTGAATTAGATCTATTCTTTTTCAGGTTAGCTTTGGACAATCAGAGGCAAAGGTTTGTTGTGGGATTACTCCTATTTAATTTCAACATTAGCAACTTCCATTGTACCATTATTCCTCTTTCTTTGCCATGGAGATATTTTCTTCATTAGTGCTGTTTTCCATACTGTAGGGTGAATTTGATATCACTAGGAAACTTGTGTTGTTGTGGTAAAGAATATCAGCTTATTGACTAAATTTATATTTCATGATCAGATAGAGGCTATCATGAATGATTTTATTCAGCTGAAGCCACAAGGCAACGTTTATGGATCTGAGACCATGGTTGAAGGTTGTAATAGTTTTATATTTTCTTCTATTTTTCTTTTGGAGTTGAGATAATAGTATGTACATGTTTGATATATCTTGTTGACATTTGTCATACACATGTAATCATTTTGTATGATCAGGAACACTGGATGATTTCTCATTTGACTCTGATGATGAGGCTGTCAAGAAGACTAAAGCAACTTCTCAAAAAATTGATCAAAATGATGGCGTTGAAGATGAAACTAACGGGAACACCAAAGCAAAAGCTGACAAACCATCTGTATGCTTCTGGATCTTTTCAGTAGTTTGTAGCACATGTTATTGTATTTATGTTTATCTTATTGAACACTTGATGCCAGGGGCGAAAGAGGGGTTCAGCTGGAAGAGGAAAGCCACAACCACCAAAGAAACCAAGGAAGAAACCAGCTTCTAAGAAAGGCAAGGCCAAGAAGTGAGAGATGGATTCTTATATCCCATAAAAGCTAAATCAGTAATCTTGGGATGTTTATTTAATTAGTTGAAAGGAGTTAGAATAGAAATGACAGAGTGAGTAGTTACAGCGGCATTGATTTTGTTCTAGGAGATCAATGGCAAAAATGTAATTCTTCATAGAATTCTTTTTTTAGTTCAATTATTGATGGGATTCTGTATTTCCCAATTATAATAGTTAATTGTTCTACACAATATATCTACTTTGCTGCTTGCTTTATTTCAGTACCAGAACAGGGAGCTTTGCATTACATAGGTACGCATATATATTTGCATTTGTTTTTTCGTTTGCCTGTCTTGTGTATCGACTTCCATACAAATATGCACGATATTAAATTCATTTTCAGAGTCTATTTGGAAACATTCATGATTGTCTTTAATTTGGAAAATTTTAGTTATTATATATCGTTATCAGCAACAATAATTAAATAGGTTGCTTTATTGCACTTCTTCTTAGATCTACTAGAACTCTAGGTCATTTTTATCACATATATGGCCCTTTGAGAACCCTAACAATTGCTTTTTTGACTAGCTGCTATGCATGGACTTGGCTGAAAATTCTTTGTTTACATTCTCAACTCATCAAAATGAATCTTTAACTTTATTACTATCAGAGAAAGAGTTGATGCCTTTCTGTGTAGAAGTTGCTTTTGTTCAGAAAAGCAATACGAGGATGAGAAGGATCGGCATTGGAAGGGGTAAGATGATGTTTGAGGAGGAAACCATCTGTTGAGCCTTCTTGCTGCTGGGATCTTGAATTGATGGAGGTGACTCGCTGATGGGATCTTGAATTGATGGAGGCGACTTGCTGATGGGATCTTGAGTTGATGGAGGCAATGGTGAACCATCTGATCCCTTCACCCTAAGGAAGCATTTTTACAATACGAGATGAGGATTTATGCAGACAACACAAAAAGCATGCAATCGAATGAGGTAAAATCACATACCCGTTACCATTAGGGCAGAATATAATGGCATAATCATAAGCCTTGCATGTGAAAGTGCTTGTGCCATCATCAAAAGCATAACTGTAAGCCCTTGGACAGGCTCTCTTGAAAATGGATGAATAAAAGGAAGGTTGGCATGTGGTTGGGTTAGCAAACTCCCCACTGCAGCAGAACTGGTCTAGGCCAAATGCTTCACATGCACTTTTACATGCTATCACTTCCCCTCCCCCTTCATTTCCACCATTTGCACCTACCACCTGTAGTTCTTTAGGGCAACCTGTCATGTTACTTCAATGAATTTGGTCATTATATGTTTACATGTATATCTATGAATAATACTACACATACATCATTTCCATACAACATTATGTGGCAAGATGTGATTGGGTGAAAGTTTAATTTTAACTTTAAATTAGCCAATCATATCTTGCCACATAATGTTGTATGGGAAATGTTGTATGAAAATGATGTATGTGTAGTATTACTCGTATATCTATATATGATAAAGTTTTTAGTATATGAAGTGAAGAAATCTTTTACCAATGTTAATATCTGAACTGCAGCCTGTGGTATTACATGCACCATACACTCCACGGGGTTGAGCTACAAGAGGCAGATTGTAGCCATCAACAATGCTCACATCGTAAAAATCTTTGTCGCTGGCCTTGCCAAGGGTTATCTCAAAGAGTGATGCAGGTGGAGTGGCACCATTTCCATCACATTCAAGTCTTCCACCGCAGTCCCCAGTTTCACAAGTACCAACTCCAGACTCATCAAACTTGCATCCTGTCCGTGCCCATATTCGACCTGACCACCCTGGAACAGATGCAATCCTCACACTTCTACCTGAGTCTAATTGAAATCCAGTTGTTGGAAGCTGCGGAGTACCTGCCCCTGCCAGTGTACCAGGCCATATGGTATATGGGCAGTTATTTGTTATTGTGAATGTGCAAGATTCAGAGCAAGAGAAGAACGAAAGGAAAAGAAGAAATGTAACAGGAAATGTCCATGAATATGATGTAATTGTCAGCATTGGTTTTTTTTTTGGGTTTTCGAAGTAATTTCAGGTGAACAGGGGCAACTGGAGGAGTAAAGAGGGAGAGGGGGTCAATGGCTACATATTGTGGTTTGAAGATTCTGTTGAGTGCAAAAGGGCTTAGTTGCAGGAAGATCACCTTTCTGGGTTTAGTATTTCTTTTATATTGGATGGCCTCATTAAGAAGCAATTCCTTTCTTTAGCAATTGCATAGGGCATATTATTCATAATCATTTATATGAATTGATTCATCAATGGAAGTTCCTTGGCTTTCAAAGAACATAGGATAATCTCTTTATAGATGAGCGAAGATACCTACTATCCAAGAAACATAGGCATTTTTTATTTTATTTTATGGAAGAGAATCAACATTTGATTACTTGCAACAAGAAATGTTTATTTTAACAAGGGAAAATTTATCTTTTGCTGACAAGAACGGGGGAATCTCCTTTGAAAAGGTAATCAGAATCAATCTAATCCTCTCTTTAGATTTGGAGAAAGAATCGAATATATTATACTTCATTGTGGGATTTTAATTTGCGTGTAATAGAGGAACGGATTATAATAAAATAAGGGTTTATTATAATATCTGTTGAGGTACTATTAAATAATAATCTCTGGTTTAAGGTATCTGAAAACAATTTACCCCTTATCGGGTAGGGTTTTATTGTTTAATTTGATGGATTAAGCGTGAAATGTATTCAACACATGATCAAAATTCAAATTAAATAAAGATTATTGAGATAGATTGTTATTTCGAAGTATCCAAAGATGGGAAGATTTTTATGAATATATATTATGTAAATTGGTTGAATAAGGTAGGTAATAAAATAAAACAAATGATGTTACACTTTTAAAGCTAGATAATTTCAAGAAAAATACATCACATTAATCACGTGCAAATATAACACCTTTAACTAATAGATAATTAAAATCCTTAATAAACTAACAATCCTATCAATTAACATAAAGTTGATGACAACTTTGTAAATGTAATCATACTAAATGATTAGTTGAAAGGGTGGTGGGTGAAGCGTAACAAGACTTGCTAACAATCAACAAAACTACAACGCAAAGGTCATTATAAACAAACTAAGATTCAACTTCTTTAAATAAATTAGGTGAACATCATAGGGGTTGACTTGAAGAAATCCCCATACTTTAAGTCAGTACAGGAACTGTTTTGCTACCTAAAATTCAATGCTTTCACACAAGGCATGTCCCTAATAGATTGTTGTTTGCCTAACAATTCCACAAAATCTAAAGGTACTCTGCAAATTAGGCCAGCAGTATATGCTAATTACCAGGATAAGACGAAGGGACTGGCTATGAAGCAGCAAGAGCTGTTGCTTCCTAGATTTCATTGCTTGTGAGAACTAGCTAGGCTTCGAAACGCTTGCACCATCAGAACAGTTATATTGGAGTAACAGCGTGCCTAATGGCATGGGAAACCGGAAAGAAATTGCTCCCAGGATTGTCCTTCCCCACCAGATGTATAATGAATCGTGCATGAGGCAATCTTAGGCAGTGGCAACACTCTCATGTTGCTAAATGAGAAAGTTATTGCCTCCTAAGATTGTTATTGCTAGTAACAACAGCAAGGCTTCGAAATGCTTGTATGATCAGATGAGATATGTTGTAGTAACAAAGCGGCTAATGGCAACTGAGAAGGGAGTTGCTCCCAAGGTCGTCCTTCCTCACCAGATGTACAATGAATCGCGCATGAGGCAACCTTAGGCAGTGGCAACACTCTCATGTTGCTAAATGAGAAAGTTGTTGCCTCCCAAGATTGTCATTGCTAGTAACTACAGCAAGGCTTTGAAATGCTTGTATAATCAGATGAGATATGTCGTAGTAACAAAGTGGCTAATGGCAACTGTGAAGGTTGTTGCTCCAAAGGTTGTCCTTCGTCATCAGATGTACAATGAATTCGGCATGAGGCAGTCTTAGGATGGCAACTTTCTCATGCAACTAAATGTCTACAACTGACGAAAAATTGCGTGGTTGAAATTGCTGTTCTTCATACCGCCATGGATGAATAACAGCATGGAGCTGTGGTTCACTCCCAGCAACATATTGCCGAGGAATTCCCTCCAACAAGCCCAAACCCTGAAACAGCAAGCAGTAATATAATTTTCTCTGCCATCACCTTGATCAGTGCAGCTCTGGGTGAAGAATGATACTAGGTTAATACCTACATAGGAAAAGGATAAAAACAATGTGCACGTTAGAAATCTGCACCACAAAGTTCAAAATACTTAAAATGGAACAGTTCATTCATAAATGCAAAAGGCACATTTAAAGTCTCCTGATTGCACAATTTGAGTCCCTGCAAAATCAACATTTATTTCAGGAATCCAGATAACGGATCAACCCAAAGAATAGAAGAACAAAAGCACGAAAAGGAAAGACGAACAGATGAAAAAACAACAAGAATCACCAATGAACATGTTATTGTCATTCCTCTTCAACCTATAAGAGAATAAACAATATTAACCAACATAATTCAGAGAAGTTTCTACCAGATAACAAACCAAAAAGACTTCATTTTGAGAACTCGAAAACCTGTTACTGCATGGTACATCATACAAACTAACAAGTTATAGAAATCATAGCAAAATTTAAGCAACTGAGAAATATTAAGCCACAAAAAGAGATATTATATAGTCAGAATAAGTACAATGCTAAAAATGACACCTCACAGTAAGTACAAAGCTAGCCAATCACCACAACATATAAATTATCTAAAAATAAAATGTCAACCAAAAGATATACGGTTGGAAGAATTAGACAAAATTAAGTAGCAAACGGATAAATAATAGTCATTATAGAAGCCTTAAGAGAGACCATTGTGGTTTAAAATAGGAGCAGAAGAGTTAAAGAGAAGCTAAATTCAATTCAAGTTTCATAAAGCAGTAATAAGAGTCTGACTTTGATCCCCTACTAATAGGGAAGAAGCTAATGATTAACTACATCGAATTAAACATGACTAGAAAGATATAAAGTGTTCCTACACGAAGACAGGACACAACAGGTCCTGAATTATAGCAGTGAATCAAGTCTGTCATCGATATTTCGTTCCATTAATACGAAAAGCGGGAAATTTTCAAAGGAAAATGATAAGATAATAAAATCTAGCTCATATCCATGCCATCTCCAACTTGGCTGCAGATTGGACTAACAGCGGAGAAGGATCTCTCGAAAGGAGAAGGATGACATTGTGCATCCCGTCTGCGCTTAAAAGCACAGCTATCAGAGGGGGAATTCTCAGCATCGAGCTTCCTCCGAACACCTCTAACAGCCTGTTCCTCTGCTGGCGAAAGGGGAAATATCTGGTTGCTCACCAAGCAAAGCGAACTATGATTATCATACAAAATTCTCTGGTTACAATTCTTGTCACAAATGTGAGTAAGTCCTGTTAATTTGCAAATGTACATGTTTCCACACACATGTTCTTTTTCACATTTCCAATCACATTTGTGCACAGGATTTGGCCCATCCCGGCCCAGAATCGTAGACAAATAAATAACATTTGTAGGACCAGCAACCATGGATTTGCCATATACCTCCATTCTTCTTCTACTTCTTCTCCAAATGACTCAAATTTCCACTCTCCAAAAACACTCTTTGCCTCCAAAACCTCTGCAAACAAGAAATTTCCAAACTTTAACACTCAATTTCTAACTTTCCCCCCCCCAAAAAAAAAAAAAAAAAAAAAAAAACACACAACTGTTGAGTCTTAAAAAGTGGGTTTTTTGTACAAAGTTAATTAGACATTCCAAATCACTGACAGAAGGAACCCAACTCATAAACACAAACACTACATTCATAGTTATACCTAATAGTAAAAACTTTTCAACATAATAAAATCCAACGCATTTCAATATAAAACCAAACTTCAACATCTCAACTACACCCAGATCAGCCCTTATAACACAACTAAAATAACTGAAAAATCGTTAATAACTAAAACAATATTACGCAAATAAACGAATAAACCAGAATATCGCTACGTGTTAGTAAAAGATATGCTAAAATAAAAATTAAAAATGCATAAAGAAATAAGAACAAAAAAAAAAAAAAAGGAGAAAAAGGAAAGACTTACTTGATCTTGAGCAAATTGACTTGACAATGAAAACAAAAGCAAAAGCAAAGAAAATGAAATGAGAGTGAGAGGGGAAGCGGGGTGGAGTATTTATAGATAAAAAACAATAAATAATATCCAAAAGTTGGAAAAGCAGGTCGGGTGGATAAATGTAGATGTAAATGTGAATGCAAATTGAAATGAAATTTGTCTTATTTAGATGCTAGAATAGTGCGCACATTACGTTTTGATGTATTTGACTAACATGTTTATTCTCACGTGTCTCCCTCTCTAACGGCTCACTTCTCTCTTAAGTGTTAAGGATGCTTTCACACGTGTTGTGAGTTAATTGCATCTTTCCCTAGGGTTTTGGTTGACTATCACCAAACTCACTCCTAAAACCAATTAAATGGTATTTAAACATATTAAATTAATATGTTTATGGATTTTTTAACACTACCATTTTAATTTTACTCGACAGTTTCAACAACATCCATTCAAATCAATGAAATTGGTAAGATCAAGATAATTGACTGAAACTTCAGGGTATTTCTTGTTCATCTTCCTTTTCTTTTATTAAACATCGGAATACCCACTAGTTTGTATCGTTACTTTGATTAACTTTTGAATGTGATAAAGACTCACGTGGCTTGATCTAACGGTAACCTTACCCACTATGATTAATACTTTATCTTATATATGTGTGGCATTGATGGAAGGGCCTTTATTAGATATTAGCCCGAATTACATTTTAACCCCTAAAGTATCACCAGACGACTTTTACAAACCTTAGTATCACATTTTATTTTGTAATTTCAAGGAATTTGCATTTATGAAATTTAAGAAGAGATTTGTTAACGTTTATTAGGTTTACTTTATTATTGGTTTAGTATGATATTTAGTAGGGTTGTGCAAAATTACCCTCTACCTGAACCAAACCCAATGCTTGAACCGAATTGAACTAAAAAATTCAAGTACTCGAAAATCCGATTTGGATTTAGATAGTAGTTTAATAGGTATCCGAATATTCGGTTTGAGTATCGGTTTAATTGTAAAAATAAACCGGGTACCCAAACCGAACCGCTTTAAATAAAAAAATAATAAACCTGAAACACTATTTCAAAAATCTCAAATCAATTAAACCTAAAAATATAAGTTCCAAACAGCCGACTAAACAAAATTCCATCTTCTTCTTCTGGAATAGAATCTCAACTTCTCTAATTCTCCTTCTGACAGCCGATGGTGTCTGTCCTTCTCGCTCTAGCCGGCAGCAACCGCTCGTCAGTTATCACTTGGTACTCGTCAGTCCTGTCCTTCCGCTGCAACCAGGGGCTTATCTCCTCACCACACTACCTCAGTCCTCCGCTAAGCTAACTAATGTATATCATCAACTATTTGCTTAGTGGAGAACAATCACATTAGATGTTTGGTTGTTTGCTTAGATGGAACTTCGTCGTAATTTTGAGCTTTATATCATCTACGGGCTAAGATAACCATATCAAATTTAATCTTTGTGATACAGATGTTGCACATATTTACGGCAAGTTCTTAGGTGCTACTGCAACGGATGAAGAATCTAGCACAGATTGCTATTGATTCTCCATTTTCTTTTTCTTCTTCTGTTCTTCACTATCTTCATTTGACATCTCTTCCAATTAAAATTCTGCACAACTTGTTTCTATTAAAATGCACCAGCCAGCAGGTTACTGTAGGTATACGGATCAGATTTATGCAGCGAAATTTAAAAAAAAATTGATCCATAAACCTAACCATCCTTATACCGATTTACATCGTTCATGCACATAATTATATTAAATATAAATATAATATCATACCAGCGTTTGAAGGCTTTTTCAAATAATTTTGATTGTATTCGCTTTCACTCTAAAGAAAGAATGCACCAGCGGTATCCACACGAAGACAAGACGACGATTACCAATAGATTTATGTGCTAGCTAAACCGATTGGTTCAAGAACAAGAATGCAGATTTTTTTCTCTTGAAAAATTCTCTTCTCCAACAATGACGGCTCACGGTTTTGGGAGAGAGAGAGGCTAGGGTTTATTTGATTGAATTAAAAATTTGTTTTAATTTTTAGTTACACTTAAATAGTGCATCAATTAAAACCTTAATCTAATATGAAATAGCCATCTACTTATTCCATATTTAGATTAGCATTATTCTATTACCAAAACAAGGTAATTCTAAAATTGGTATTTTAATTTTGAATTTGAATTTATATTATATTCATTAATATTAATATTATTTATCTTATTTTTTCACACTCCAATTCCAATCTTCAATCTCCTTTCTCTCTCATTTTGTATTTGTATTAATTAAAAAAATATATGATCACTATGAAATATAATAAAATAATGAGACATTGATATATTAATTGAATTTTAACACTTTTTATTACTTATAATTATAAACTTAGAAATTAGGATTAAAAATTAATATTAATAATTACATCTCTATTATACAAATACAATACAATTATCTCAACTTTGATTTTGGTTTACAAATATTCAAAGAAATTAATGAAAATGAAGATATATGATATTTTTTTTTATCAATCATTTTGTAAACTAGAACTAAAGTTGAGATAGTTGTATTGTATTTGTATACTTGTATTTCTAATGGAGATGTAATTGTTAATGTTAATTCTTAATTCTAATTTCTAAGTTTGTATTTGTAATTTATAATTATAACTTATAAGTAATAAAAAGTGTTGAAATTTAATTAATATTTCAATGTCTCATTATTTTATTATATTTCATAGTGATTATATATTTTTTAATTAATACAATACAAAATGTCACTAAATATAACATATAAAATATTTTATAATAATTACTAATAATAAATCAAAATTACCATAATTTATAAATATTAAATATTAAAAAAAATTGTAGGCTGGCCCACAAAGCACGCGAGCCAGCCTGTGTGCTAGACCCATGGCACGTGTTGTGGCATGACATGCTATATAAAGGGTTGTGTCGTGGGCCTTCAGATTTGGCGGACCGATGTGGCATGACAAGACACGAATTTCTGCAAGCCTTAGCACGACACGGCCCACGGCATAACGGGTCTTGAATTTTTAGGCATGACACGGGCCACCATCGACTCTAATCAGCTTCCGTTTGTTTTGGGGGTTTTATTGACTCCCTAAGGTATGATATAATAACAAAATCTCCCTAAGGTTTCTAAAATAACAAAAAATTCCTATTGTTAATGAATTGTTAGTGAACCATTAAAATTTACTTAGTTATGAGTTAACAAATATTACCAAATTATCATTGTACCATTTACTTTAATACCTAAAACTTAACATTGAGGGGATTTCTGTTATTTCCAAAACTTTAGGGGGATATTGTTCTTTTATCATACCTTAGGGGGATTAAGTGAATACCCTTGTTTTTGCCTATTTGTAAGTTTAAAATGGGTTCCCAAAAAAATAAATTTGAGAGCTATATTAAGGTTGGGCTAATGGCCCAACAATATTAGTAGACTAATTAAATTCTAATTTTAATTTTCAATATAAGAAATTGATTAATGCGATCACTTATGATTGTTATAGTTATATCCGTTGGATTTTAATTATTTAAAATTAGATTGAAATTTAATGGAAGATTTCACATCATTATTTGACTTGGAATCGAAAGGACCTTTGGAGCTCATCTCGTAAAGCATTGAAGGCACCATTTAATTACTTAGTGTTTTTGCTTAAATCCATTAAATAAAGTAAAATATTTAGCTACAATATAATATTGAACTCATAATTTTATTAAATTATTAATTTTAAATTACTTAATGATTTCGCTTAAATCCAAAAAATGACACCAAATTAGTAAATAAATAGAAACAATTTCTTTAACATTTATTAATCATCAGATGATATGCTGATTGAAATAAGGTTCTAAAGAGGAAACAAAACGGCGAAGATCAATACAACTAAAACTAAAACTTGATTGAGGATCATAGATATTATGTGATATACCTAACAAGGAGGTTTACCAAAGCTTTAAAAGGAAACTATTAGTGATGGTAATTTTTATAATTTTCTAAAATGAAGAAGAATTAATTGATTACGTGTTGTGGGAAATCAATACAAGGGACAAATGAGCTTACGTCCCTTGTATTGATTTAGTAAACGTAAGCTCATTCGTCCCTTGTATTGATTTCTCATAACACGTAATCAATTAATGGGATATTTGATGTAAGAGTTATTCAGTACCACGAGGAGAGTGTCTTAGAAACGGGAATCATTTTTACTATAGGTATTGGATTGAACGTCGTTAGAAACTAGGATTGTTTCCGCTCTATTTATGTACCGGGGTTATGGTGTTTGTACTCATCTATATTGATAGTGGATTTCTCTCACTCATGGACGTAGGCAGGTTATACCGAATAACATAAATATCGTGTCTTTTTGTGTGATGTGATTTTATTCATATGTTATTCATCTCGAAAGTATGCTTTTCGTTGTGTGATCTCCTAACAGAAACTACCATCATGCTTCACGTCATCCATTAGTCTTGGTGAGCAGTCGCAAACTACCCAAATTGATATGTCTTTGACTGTCAGTCTTGCACGCATTGGCGATGACTCTAGTAACGTGATTTTGGCGACAATGGTGGTGATTGGCCAGTGATTGTTGTGGTTATAATGGTTGGGGTAGAATGATAATTTTTTTTTTATATTTTAATTTAAATAATTACTAAATTATAAAATAATAAAAATTTAAATAAAATGTTTCAAAGGTAATATGGGAATTTTTATTTGAAACAGAGGCAAGGAATGAATTTCCACCCATCCCTTACCCTTGGAATGGGTATTCCTCTGTTAGGATCTCACATCGAGATCTCACACCCACTAAGTGTGGTACTTAAGTCTAGGGGTTTTTCCACTTATCAGGCCGGTCTTTTGAGTTACGCTCTCCCTTGGGCTTGAGTTCTAACATTGGTACTTTTCGTTGAGAGTTGGTTTGCAGAAAGGGCTACATATATGCTAGATTAAGGTACAATGGACTCTCCTTGGGAGAGGGTGCTACATCGAATAACTGATAGGTGAGTGAAGCCGCCCAAAAGGGGAAATGGCTACTGTCAGGTTAGTGTTGATAGAGGGAAAGCTGCTGTTGATGTCGGCTCTTGAAGGGGGGGGGGGGGGGGGGCAATGTATCCCACATTAGGATCTCACACCCACCAAATGTGGTACTTAAGGCTAGGGGTTCTTTGAATGATAGGGTTTGGGATATGATCTGTTTATATGAGGAATAGAGACCTCCAAGAACAAGAGACATAGAGATTAATTGACAAAATTCTTCAATGATAACCACAATCTAGATTTAGGCTATTATATAGCCTTACAACAAATGACTTCCAAAAGGACTCTCCTAGTCTAATTGCATGATAGAATAACTGTAATTCCTAATTTAAAAGATATTATAATTGTAAGATATCCTAAATGCCTAATTCTACTTATCGTATCCTTTTTGGATATCTCCTCAATCATCCCATAATTGGGTTCCTAACATTGCCTTCCCCTTCAGATCAACCTTGTCCTCAAGCTTGTAGGGTACTACAACATAAATTGTAGATGTTGTCGAAGCTAAGACCTCTAATCGTGAACAACCATAAGAAATCAGTTAGCGCAAATGAGGGTCAAGGCAATAAAGAGACAGCCAATGCTCCACCGCTGGGGTAAAAAATCAACACGTTAAAGAGAGACTCCTTTTGCTCACCAAGTAAATCCAAGAGAAGATGATGAACTGAATTGAATTCCCATCTGGGATAAGCTTTCCCAGTGATGGCTTCAGAGTTCGTGCCAAGGACGCTATGATAGGTAACTCGAAGTGGAGAGTCGGGCAATACCGCCAAGGAGAGAGCGAAACGCGTGGGAGGCTTGGTGAGGGGTGTCTACAGTGGTGAAGGATTGTTGGTAATATAACCGAGAGGAACCAAGGGAAGGTCAATGGCACGCTGGTGGCCAGCGACAACCGCAACATAATCAGAAGAATGGCTGATGGAGCCCACTTGAGAAATGACTTTCGGTTTCGGGGAAATGGCCATTGGTTGTGGTTGTCGTATGGCTTTATCCAACTGGGATTCCAATACTAGGAGTTGCCACAAAATTTCGTTGAGAAGAACCTCCATTGAATCAAGCTTTACGCCTTACAAAGATTGAATAGCTGTCAACTTGGTTACCTAGTCTTCTAGATCTTCCAGATTGCGAACTTGAAGTCCATTTGCCTGCGTGCGTTTCGCCAATTGCCCTTGATAATCCACAATTTTGGAGGGTCGGCTTGTAAAAAGGAATCCCAAGAATGAATTTGTTCACTGGAAGACATCCAATGATACCAAGAAAGAGCTAGTCCATCCATGTGAAACAAAGAACAAATTAATCGTTGTTCAAATGGTGTGTTGAAAAATTGTTCAGCCTTAAATGTCCAACCCGTCGGATTTGAACCATCAAATCGCAATAAAGTGAATTGAAAGATGTTGTTGCTGCCGTCTTAAATTCAGTCACTTGATTATCCAAAATATTTGTTCCATCAACCATAGAAAAAGAACGAGAGCACCAATGATAGGGTTTGGGATATGATATGTTTATATGAGGAATAAAAACCTCCAAAAACAAGAGATAAAGAGATTAATTGACAAAATTCTTCATTGATAATTATAATATAGATTTGGGCTATTATATAGACTTATACTTGACTTCAAATAACTCCCAAAATGACTCTAATTCCTATTCTAATTGCATAATAGAGTGACTGTAATTCATAATTTAAAAGATACCATAATTGTAAGATATCCTAAATGCCTAATTCTACTTATCGTATCCTTTTTGGATATCTCCTCAATCATCCCATATTTGGGTTCCTAACATCCTCCCAAATCCCTTCCTCTTCTCCAACAAGTAAATATCGAAACTTTATGTTGATGAACCACTATTCTGCCTTCATTTGATTGTGTTGGTTGAGTTGGCATAGGGAGAAAGAGTAAAGTTTTTTTTAGTATAACCTAGAATGGAAGAAAAATAATTTAAAAAGAGAAAAAGATATATAAGGGTTAGGATAATGTGACTTAATTTTCGACACTCCTAGTAAATCGTTTATTTTTGTTGATCTAAGGATGATGAAAAATACTGAGTTAACATTAAATGTAATTATCTTAAACTTTTTATCTTATCATTGTTGGATAAACAAAGGTAAACGACTAACAAGAAATGTCAAAAAAATTAAGTTAAGAGTTTCTCAACCTAATTTAAATGCTTTAAGTCTCTTTTGTCAAATTAATGGTGATCCTATAAATGCTCATTTAAGAGTTAAAATAAATTAAAAAACAGTCATGTGATCGTTATGTAAGTTTGGTGGGCATAGCGTGACCATTAATCTACCTATCAATCTCATCTATTTTACACCACCTTCTTCAACCCAAAGGAAGAGTTATTATTATATACCTCTTAATTATATTGATACCAAGTATTTAAAAAGGTATGACGAAGCTTCTTAAGAGTATAATTTAATTATTAAAACTCTCTTAAAATTATCAAATATATAATGCATGCCTCTCTCAATCATTATTGTCTTGTAAGAATAATAGAGTATAATTCTAGATTGCTGTAACATATGTTGTGGTTATAAACTAAAGTAGAAAAAAATGGAGGTAATTTGGTTTAATTTGAATTCTGTTTGTCTACCATTAATAGAATGGAATAAACTAATTATAAGTGAAAGGGTGCTCATTTAAATTGATTTTAAAGAAGGACGTTTTGTGCTAATTCATGACTTAATGCTTTAGCCAAGAAATGACTGGTTTCATATTGCACAATATTATGAGAGACGATTTTCTCTAAATTTAAATGTTTTCTATTCAATCTTTAAAATAAAATAAAAAGGAAAAAGAATGGAGTCATGTGAAATAAGTTTGGTGTTGGTGTGGGTGTGGGTGTGGCTCAATGAATCTTAATCCACGTATCAATTCCATTTTTCCCGCACCTTCCCCTTCCCGATACCCTCTCTTAAGGAAAAATCCTATTCGACCCCTTTAATTTTGGTAAGAATTAATTTCGTTTCATTAAAATAAAAAAATTATACTTTCATCAACATTACAAATAATAATCATTAAGATTTAATAGAAACTTTCACGTAAAGTCTAATATATGTTTCTTGGAAGTCAATATAAAATATAAAACTAAAAGGAACTATGTATTTATATAACACTAAAATTATGCCATATATATATATATATATATATTAAAGTTTTATAATTATATATATTAAAATCATTTTTAACGACTTTAATAAAATAAAAAGTTTTTATTTTTATTTTTTTTCCGCATTTAAAAAAAATAATTCTAGTTTATTGACTTTGCTGTAATAAATTTACATTTTGACGGGGTTTCACTTGAATCCATTATCATTTTGCAAATTATATATTTTAGCTGTTTAAGTCATTATTCATTAATGTACCACAAATAAAAATCTATACATAGTTTGGGTGGGTGCATAGAAGGGTCACTCTCAGAGATTAGTGGATCATACATGATTCCACCAAAAGTGAGAGATCCAGCTGTAATTTTCCACCCTTCCATGAATTGCATTGATTCATACACACATGACACATACTCCTAAACACAGAATCAGATTTCTTCAGCTATAAATCACCTCCTGAATTGGCTCTCCCCGCTGTACTCCACATAACATTCGTTTTAATTTTACTCAGTCTTCTTTTCTTAGCAATTAACAAACGTATAAAGATTTTATTCCCTCAAGATTGATTAATGGGGGACATACAACTTCTTGATTTCGTATTGGCTTCTTCTGGGTTGTTGATGATGTTGGCTTATCACTTTTGGCTTATTCATCGTATCATTAAACACCCCACCAGAACTGTCATCGGTGTCAATGCCATCAACCGCCGCTTCTGGGTCCAAGCTATGATGGAGGTTCCTATTTTTCATTTTATTTTACTTTGAAATCCAAATTTTTACATGTTTATATTGAAATTGAAATTTATAGACATAATACTTTGTATGATTATCCGTCATAAGTTCGCACTAGAGAAGGACTATAATTATGAATAATCATAGGCATGCATATTTGGCAGGATGTGTCCAAGAATAGAGATCTTCAATTCATATATTGATCATTTTTCCAACATAGAATTGATGTTTTTTTTTTATAGTGTGGACGTCTGTTTCTGAGAATAACAATTCTATATTTGACAGGATGCGTCGAAGAATGGGGTGCTTGCAGTACAAACATTAAGAAACAACATAATGGCATCAACCCTTTTGGCATCAACTGCAATAATGTTGAGTTCCCTGATTGCAGTATTGATGACAGGTGGTAATGGAGATAGATCAATGTGGATTGTATTTGGGGCCAAAAGTGAACTGTTTTTCTCCATAAAATTCTTCTTAATATTGGTATGTTTCTTGGTGGCATTCTTGCTGAATGTGCAGTCAATTAGGTACTATAGCCATGCAAGTATTTTAATCAATGTGCCATTCAAGAAGATGTATCAAAATGTTCATCATCACCAACTCACATCAGAGTATGTAGCCAGGACTGTGAATAAGGGGAGTTATTTCTGGTCTTTGGGCCTTCGCGCTTTCTATTTCTCTTTCCCTTTGCTCTTGTGGATCTTTGGGCCAATACCAATGTTTTTATCCTGTTTTTTTCTGGTTTTTATGCTCTATTTCTTGGATGTCACCTTTGAATTTGGATGGGCAGTTGCTGCTTGTAATGAAGAGGATGAAGATGAGGAAATGGGGAGAGTTAATTGATTTTGATGAAATAGCTGAAGAAAGAAGAGAAGACCAATTCATATTCAATCTTGGTTGAGTTGAATTGTAATTTTTTGTTTCTTTTCCTTGGCAACTTAATAAGAGTACCCATTTGGGATAGAAGTTGTTTCAGTGCCTTTTCTCTTTTGATGCTTATTTTGCAAGTTTCCACCCAATTTCTGTCTTGTAGTAGTTGTGAATAAAAGTGATAGAAGAATGGAGGGAAAATTGAGAACTCAAAAGTTATCTACTTAAGTGGGATGCCATATGCCAAAAAGTTTACCCACCCTTAGAGGAGCTGTGTCACAATGTCAATAGAAAAACAAAAAGAAATTGACAGTGCTAAAGTGCTCTGTTTCTCACCCACCACCCGTTAACATGGTCTACAAGTTGAGGGGTCGTAAAAGGGGCAGTAAGGGGTAATGGGTGTGAGTGAGAGTTAGTTACGGGAATATACAAGTGGCTGGATAGAGTAAGGTTTGTTTGGTAAATATATGAGTACATATAGCTAGAGAGTGTTAAGGGAGGGATTAAGTAAATTCTTCATAGGTCATTAAGGGAGGCTCCCCAGCTCCTCGAACTGTTGGGAATCTATCTGCTTGGGTGCTATTTTCTTGAATTGTTATTTCAATCATTATATTAATATCAATTCAGTTTATATCAGATTGTGTGTTCTCTTTTTATATGCTCTTTTGTGTGTTGTGGTTGGATTTGGATTAATTTGACAGGAGGTTCCATCATAAGACAAACATATTTCTGTACTTATGAGATGTCATTCTACAGATAACAATTTTTACAGTTCTTTCATTCAACTAAAACTACAGAAAGATATCACAAGTCAACTAGAACCCGTCAAATCTCCCTTCTTTCAGTGGCTCTGGAATCTGGAATGCTTAGTTGTGATTTCTCGAAACCCTGATTAACAGTCCTCAAATGTTTCTCATTCTGCCTATCAGTATATATGCATTTCTTCAATAAGATCCCTTGTCTTACATACAACTCAGAAAGCTCGTCCCAAATGGTTGCGCGAAAGAGAGGGGAACTACAAATAATATAACCTTGATCATGTAATCAAAGTACTCACATTAGAAGTGTGTGCAAGAACATTATGACAGATAACAATGAATACATTTTGTCAATTGTAGATGTAACACAAATCATTCTTTTCTCAAATTGTATTTGAGAACTAAAACACAAGGTAATTACTCTATTTTGTACTGATAATTGAATCGGTTAGACTAATACCAGTACCGTTAATCTACCAAAATATTGAAGGGCAAACTTGGACCTCAAATTATGTCAACCCCCTGTACAGGAATCATGCAGTAGGCCAATGTGCAGAAGATGCTATCTCGTAACCATGGTAATGCGTGCATTGTTGTTCTTATAATTTAGGTCACAATGTTGGACAATTTCAACTTCAACTTCATGTTGCCAACTTGTACTACTAGTTCTTCTTTCGATGGTTCTACTCTTAAAACTTTCCCTTTCTTTCCCAGGGAAGAAACCTGGACTGAATCACCAACCTCAGGAAGTCCACTTCTCTTTGCTGCATGGCAAATAAGAGAAAGGAATTCATCTAAAATGTTCTGGTTGGTATAAATTAAGATACCATAATTCTAGCATAAAGAAATTTTGCATAATTAGAAATGCACTGCAAACTATTTTAATTCCAGTCCGGCATGGCTTGGCAGAAGAAGATACCTGTTACTGATTTTTTGATAACTTTGACGGCAGGTGAACTCGTTGCAGGATGCTCACTTTTCCTGACATTGGTTTGCTGGGAATTACTAGCAAATATTTGCTGGCTTTTACCTACTTTAGTGGGCTGAGAAGGTTGAGCTGCGGGGGCACGAAGTTGCCGTGCTCTCTTGTGAACTAAAGAACGAGCCATTGCTGCAGCCTCAGTTATTTCTCTCATTTTCCTATATCTTTGCTTAGTACCATGTTCCATGAGCTTCCTTCGAGTGACCAAAAGATTTTCATAAAGATCTCTTGAGAGCCTAAGATCATGGGTACAAACAAATAATTAGAGCTTAGAGCATTTGCAAGCCTATAAGCTGTCTGTTGCGCTTAGTACATGTACAGCCTTTATTTTCAGCTATCTTCAAATCTTCAAAGCAGTTTTCATAAAATTGGACATCTTTTGGCAAAGGATATAACTTTTCTGTGTCTTTTATTTTTTCAGGACTTGCGTCATCCCCACTTGAAAGAATGCCAGTATAGAGAAGTGCAAATAAAACCTTAAAACTTCTCTCTTCATATTTTAGTTTAGTTTTGCATTTTGATCAAATGGAAATTCTAAACTACAAAACAGGGTAGCTCTCCACCAGGCTAAGCCTGACTGCTCTGCTCTAAATGGGAGATGTACCAATTAGCTATTTTAAATAAATTTTTTTTCCTATGATGCTACAAAGGTTATCAACATGCAAACATAAAGAACAAATAAAAACAGGGTTGCTAGGTTTATAGACACCAAATTTAGTGAATACAAGTTATGTCGTTAAAAAATCTCATTGGCGCATACGACACAGGTTTTATTGATGAAAATAGGTTAAGTGGTTCCTGTATATATGTTCTCTGTTAGTCTGAGAAAACAGTATGACAATAGCCAATTTTAACAAGCAAGAGAATAATCTCACATTAGAAAATTTCTGGCCTCATGTAAAAGCTCTTGAAATTCTTGCTTGAACCTTTCCATATCAATTATTACCTGCATTAAAATAACAATATAATAAAGAATTGAGGTGCTGTTTGAAAGAACAACAGGAGAAGCTCCAATCATCTACCATAAATGCCACTTTAAACACAAATCATGCACAATTCTCCCTTTAGTGGAAGTTATACATCATCTCACCATGTACTAACTATTATTTAAATGACATTTTGGAGTTAAAAATTCTCTTCACCCTTTAAATAATTCCCAAATTCAACCACTATTTTAATAGGAGCCAAGTATTTCCATGCATCTCGATCTGATGATACCACTATGACACTTCTAATTGAGAATAAAAAAATAATATGCACATAACCTCATTAATCTCTGCACTAGCAACACCATATAGTTTACGCGCACTTTCAACAACTGTGCTGGGTAGTCCCAATCTTTCAGCTATATTGATTGCATTTGAACGACCTACAAGAAATGTCACACCACTTAAGTGCTTTTAAATGAAGTTGTCACTCCTAGCAAAAAAAGGATCATGTGGCATTATGATACCATTAAAGAAATCCCAAACTATCAGTAACTGCTTAGTGACAAATAGTGGTGTCCAAAATTTCTCAGAACAACTAAATTTCCATGTTAGCTGAAAGGCACAGTATTATGATACTTATAGGAAAGCTAAAGATTACAGCAAATCTTTATGTTGATTAAAAAACGGCATCTATTGTTAATTCTATTCATTTAATAGCTGATTTAGCTAGCAATGAGCAATTTTTTTTTCCAAATTTCTTGCGACTAACTTGTACAAGATAGTTCTAAATCTCTCTTAGATATAATTTATTGGACAAGCTGACTTCTTTTGATGTCTCATGATGCCTTCATGAATACTTCCTTTACATGTCTTGGCTTATTGCTAACTAGCTTACGCTCCTCATTTTGAAAACCCAGCTACTTCCTTCTTGGTCTAGTGGTTCGCACAAGATACAATCAGGTAATCATTAAAGATAAAGTGTAACCTTCACATGCACAATTGACAGGTAATCATTAAAGATAAAGTGTAACCTTCACATGCACAATTGACAGGTAATCATTAAAGATAAAGTGTAACCTTCACATGCACAATTGACGACCAGTATCTCACACATATAATGCATATCAACAGACAATTGACACAGTTTGGACAACTAAAACAGAACTACAGATTGCTAGGATATATAAAGCAGAATGTAGTTGTAGCAGGTCAATTGAATCAACCAGTTTGAACATGGTAAGCTACTCCTGGATAATGACATTCACTATTTCCATTCACCAAGAATATAGAGGTAGAAAACAAAAAGAACTTAGTGAAGTATTTAATTGTGAAACCTGGTACTCCCCAGAGGATCTTGTAAGTTGGCCTTAAATTAACTTCGTCGAACTCCATACAAGCATTCTCAAAGACATCATTACTGTCAAAGGAGCGAAAAACATGAGTCCAAGAATTAGAATATGCAACGGATCTTTTAAGCTTCTATGAATGCATGAGCTTATGACAGGCGTAGCTCAGTTTAAATCAACATAAACTGCATCTACCAAAATATCAATATGATATGCAGCTAAAAAAAAAGGACACACCTAAATTAGGTCAAGTTTAAATTGTTTGAGTTGACTCTGCAGTAATATGATCAGCTAGGTCTTATTTGGCTACCCAAGCAGCAATAGTCCATGGGCATTACAAAAAATGCATGTCTTTCAAACCAGAGTTATTCAAATGGCAAAATATATAAGCGTAAAACCTTTAGCTTGTTAATAAATACCTGTATTTCAATGTTTTAAGTTCACCATGATGTGTCGTAGCTATTGTCAACAAAGCACCAGTTTCAGCAAAAGATTCCAGCAGTGACATCCCAAGTGCTGCACCTTCAAGTGGATTGGTCCCTGCACCAACCTAATAATACCAAAGAGGCAGTATTGAAATAGAATTGTTTTCATGATACTTTCTTTTCCCAAGCTAGTGAAACAGTTGAAGTCGTAAACTTTCAATTATATAGTCAAATATGATTTAGTCCATAAATAAATTAGCGACATAAAATCATTCAAGTAAAAAAAAAAAAAAGACAATTCAAACGTACTTCATCGAGTAGAACCAAT